ATCACAAGATGCATTTAGTCGTCGGCTGTCATGCGTGAAAAATGTGAAGTCTTTATAGAAAGCTACATCTGATCTTTGTGCATCTAAAAATACCGCGAGGAAATGTAACATCAGCATCTATTTCATGGCTGATATCAGTTAGACAGATAGATAAAAGGAAAAAGAAATAAACAAGTATAGCTACAAATATAGATATATGTACTCTCCAATACCTTAATGTAACATCTGTGTCTCTAGTGGTCAACATTTCCACCTTATTTTATACCACGAATATCACAAGGAAATAAACAATTTTTTCTCACAAAGAACTATTAAATTACTGGTACAAGGAGCCTGGAATGTCCAGCTGATAATCAATAAAAGAAAGGTGAGAATGATAAATGTAAATGAATGATTAAACAGCAAAATAAATTTGAGCCAGAAACAAGCAACAAAGCAAATATTACAAAATGTTGTAACATTCAGACTCAGATTCTAACAGTCAAACTTATAACAAATTCACCAGTCTGAAAGAAATATTGTCCTGGCTAAATTTAAATAAATAAGTTATATTCTAGTCTCTTTGGTTTCAGGTGATCACCTAACTTTTCCTGACCACCACATCTGCCTAACTTTTCCTGACCACCACATCTGCCTAACTTTTTCTGACCACTACATCTGCCTAACTGTTTCCTGACCATCACATCTGCCTAACTGTTTCCTGACCATCACAACTGTTTCCTGACCAACACATCTGCCTAACTGTTTCCTGACCACCACATCTGCCTAACTGTTTCCTGACCACCACATCTGCCTAACTGTTTCCTGACCACCACATCTGCCTAACTGTTTCCTGATCATCACATCTGCCTAACTGTTTCCTGACCATCACATCTGCCTAACTGTTTCCTGACCATCACATTGGCTTAAATGTTTCCAAACCACCACATCAGCCTTGATGTTACAAACAAACTGAATATTAAGGTATATTAGGAAAAAAGTCTGCAATATTAAGTGATCTCAAAACATATATTTCTTAAATTTTCTCTCATACATGTATCATCTTTCTTAGTTTATACCCACATGACTCCTCTGTCCTCACTCCTCATTTAGTTCATTTATGACATTTTATAGATAAAGCTTCTTCAATATATACATTTATCAAACAATAAACCCATCAGTTATTGCTGTTTAATAATATTATGAATTTTAAATGTTATATCTTTGTTCTATAAGGAGTCCACCCTGTGACTTTGCGTTAAAAATAACTTGATTGCCCTGTAATATTAAGCCCAGTCATTATGATTCAGATTAAGATATTATAAACGGATTCTCTGGACTTTGATCCCCTCAACCAAATGTCACCTGTAATCCTTTGGGTATGGCGATAAAATCAAAAATACCCCATACTGATACTGATACATAATGTTTACTTTCTCTTTTCATGATGAAAATATCAATAAAGACAAGCATTTTAAAATGTCATCTCAAATATATGTATTAAAGCGTAACAAAAGATAAGCTATAGATTCTAAGTAATAAGAAAAATTCATTTTCACAAAAATAATGAGCAAAATTAATTAAGGTTAAATTAATTATTCCAAAAATCAATATGTAAACCGTAAGGTCAATTAAAGTATAGAATGATTTTCACAGAGTTGTTGATATACATATAATTCTAATTTTAAAATTGAAACTTTTTGTTTTTTATTTTCATTTAAAAATTTGTTTGAAAGCTGACAATATATGATTAGTGAGATTGTGTGGATCAAAAGACAAGCCTCCCATAATGCGCTGAAGCCTGGGCGTATCTCAACAATCTACAACAGATTGCGCAATAGCAAATTGCCTCATAAACACGTGATTTGAGATGAAGTTTTTTAGGGAATAACGGTTGCCTTGGTAACAGAACTTACTCTTTCAGACGACTGGTGAGGAACTATCAATTAAGTTTCCCCATTGATTCGGGTTTTATGTCAATTCTAGTTCGATCTAGTGCAATAAAAAGTGCAGGAATGAAAGATGTGTTAACAGACCTCCACTAAAGGCAGATTTCATTTGGCAGAATGGCATTGAGGTTTGTTCAAACAATGTTCCTGTTCCATTGCAGAGACAGTAATTTGAATGCTCAGGGAATGTGTTGACAAAGCAGCTCAATATTGGGACATTCAGATATATCTATTTTTGTAAAGCTCACCTCCAACATCAAACTACAACTTCAATTTATAAGATACAGCTTTCAGCAGTAGTCATTTAAGTACAAACTTTATCTTGGAAATACAGCAGTTTTTAAAAATATTAATTGAGATCCAAGGCGAAATAAAATAGTTATCGATGAATAAGCACATCACTATGGAATTTCATTGGAACATATAAAAATATAACTATAAACTTTAGAAAGCAAATTCAGCAATTTCTCTGTTTTCAGCATTGCAAACTTCCGAAATAGAATAATATCAATCAAAACACTCATAACTATGAAACCTTGAAATCTGAATTTTACAAAGCGTGTTCAACAATTTATTTCGCTGAAAACTCCAAAATAAAGCATTTATCAAAAAACACATAACTATGAAAATTCATTACTGATTAGTTCTATTATACAAATATCAATTAGATAACTAAATATAGCACAAAGAAAAAATTCAGATTCAAAAATATGAAGAGGCGTGGTAAAATTTTGAGCATGGTTACCATCTCTAAGGAACTATTGAAAAGTCCTGAGACTTTCTGTATACACACATACTTCTCTGCACAAACGATCACAAAAACTTTAAAATATCTGCGCAAGACTTCGTAACCCTTCCTGTTTTAGAATTTTTTGTACAAATTAAGCAGCCATTAGTCATGAATAGTGTATTTCCACAGCAAGGTCACAGCACGCTATAACAATCCTATGAACTTGCTCGCCATTAAAAACACGTTTCGAAATGTTCTGCCTTCACCAATGTATTATTAACTAAAGAAAAATGATCAGTGTAGCCTCCATGACATGTGGTATATCAAACATCAACTTCCCGCTAATAAGAAAAATACCAACTTAATAGAGCAAAATAACTTGATTATTTCAAACTGCATCATGAAAAACTTATTTAAATATATAACAAACATCTCTAAAATAAATAAACACTATGTCAGGTACAATAAATGGATTAAAAATGAAGACCGTGGTTTGAGACGTGATGACGATAAGCTGTTGATACTGTTTAAACCTGGAGTAGGTATAAGTATATATATATCTATACCCCTGTAGGGAGGCATGCTCAGCCAAACTTACAGCAAAGAAAAGGTCACACAGACAAAAGCCTCTATAGCTGTTTGTATTTACAACTTTCAACACCATAATAATTCAATTTGAGGCACGTTTCCATGGTAACAACACTGTGTGTTTTCCTTTTGAAGCATCTTTGAAATTTCTATTTTGGGAATTAACATGAGATGCTTCCAAGACTTCAACGAAATGGATTCTGCATAAAAATACTAAGATCTGTTTTAAGTCTTGACTGTCTGCAAGCTTTCGTGTAAATGATAATGATGTTATTATCACAAATTTGTTCCAGGATTAGGCAACGTAATGATATTAGACAGCCTTTTAAAATATCTTTCTAGTGAAAAGTAGAATTAATTGAATTCAATCCGCTGTTCTAATATGGCCTAGGTAAAATTTGTCTCTTGTCCTTCCCAAAGTCGTAAAAAAGAAAAACACATGATGGACTAGAGGGGTTTTGTATATAAACATTTGTTGTTTTTTCGTCTTTTTCTTCTCTCCTTTCGTTTGACAGCATAATTATTTGTTGTATTGACAGATAGAGGATTTGGTTACATATTTCAACAGGAGAAACCTACACATAGAATGAGAGAATATTTTAACAATTATAAGGACACTAATTTTCAGATGTCAAAATCCAAGATGGCTTTATGAGGCCATTTTCCCCCTTAATCACACAGTATCACTGTTAAACAAATAGAAACTGATGGGCTGGATTAACCTTTCCTTAAGAAATATTAATTTTGTACTTAAACAGCATCAAGAATAGCTGGGATGTGGTTTCAATAGCAGCCAGGCAAACAATCCAGGCTGTAATGTATTATCATAATGAAGGAATTTTACTAGGACTTGACTCAACACGTCAATGCACAGAGGAACAAAATATATGACTCTTAAACATCTTTTTGGATCACATTAGACAAGGTCTATAATATTTAAAGTGTCCCCTATGCTAGTGTTGTGTCAGTAAAGCTGGACATCCATTTGAACCTAATGTGACATGTTTTTCACTGAAATTTAATTTAAAAAAATAAAATGTGAATAAAACATACAGATGCATAAGCAACGCTCCACGACATAATGTTTTCACCTTCCTCATCAACCAGTGCGAGACACACCATTAGGCAAACCAAAAACTATGATATTTGGAAGAAAATTGCTCGCTTGAGTAACATGCAATTAATGTCGCTTGTTTTGTGATGAAACTCCATTTTACTTGGATGAAAATGTGAAAAACATGTAATTGAAGTTCACTTAGACCCGATACATGCATTACTGTAGATTTTATAAGTGATCAGAATCGTTACCAATTTGTCCAATAAGTGATTTAGAATCATATCGTTTAGAGTTATGATTCCCATCTTCTGTTCACCTGCCCACTTGTATTCATTATTTATTTCAAATATTAATTCTCTGGTTAAGAAGAGATGAACACTGAAATCCTGGGCACCCAGATAAAAATCCTCCACTGTATTTTTGATAACATCTGAACTTCAAACACCTCAAAGTATTACTGATAAATACACTCGCCTTGTTAGGAGAGTAATTACGGATAAATAAAAAACACCAAATTGCCTACAGACTCTACTTGTAATGCGGTAATGGAATTCAGAACAGCAAAATTGTGAAAATTTCAACAAATTCTTCGTTAAAATGGAAAAGTTACAACATCCAAATTCCAACAGCAGACAGTTTGAATATTTACGGAATAAATTAGAATATATTTGAAGGAATATAAAGAGAGCTGACTCACCCTGTATCCAATTCCTGCCCGGACGATCTTCACACCTGTCAACTTATTTTCCAAGTCTGACTTCCGCTCTTCTGCAAAACACAAATTATATCATTAACACCACACCACAGATATACCCAAATGGCCGAACTTGTTAATTCATTAAGGCCTAGTATGTGTCAAATGGCTTAATACACATCCTAACACTTCTCTATCAAACACATAGCCAGCCCGAAATTATTCACAGGAGAAACCTCGAGAGGAAAATAGTCCCATTTCTCTATGCGTGAATTTTTTCGCATTTGGCCAAGTCTGGGAGACAACATCAGTGTTAAATCAGAAAACATGATTTGGATAATTCTTGGAAGCTGTAGGAAGACGGGTCAAAATGTGTGAATCTGAATATTTTGGAAGCTTTTTTAAATGTTTACAGGGAAACATTGTAAGTGTGGACACTTTGGTTTTTTGTGATTAGTAAGTAGAACCTTGTTAGTCTACACACCATGATTTGTGTTGACAGTAAAACCATGTTAGTGTGGACACTTTGGTTTGTGTGTACATTAGAACCTTGTTAGTCTGGACACTTTGGTTTGTGTGTACAGTCGAACCTTGTTAGTCTGGACACTTTGGTTTGTGTGTACAGTAGAACCTTGTTAGTCTGGACACTTTGGTTTGTGTACAGTCGAACCTTGTTAGTCTACACACCATGATTTTTGTTGACAGTAAAACCATGTTAGTCTGGACACTTTGGTTTGTGTACAGTCAAACCTTGTTAGTCTACACACCATGATTTTTGTTGACAGTAAAACCATGTTAGTGTGGACACTTTGGTTTGTGTGTACAGTAGAACCTTGTTAGTCTGGACACTTTGGTTTGTGTGTACAGTAGAACCTTGTTAGTCTGGACACTTTGGTTGTGTGTACAGTAGAACCTTGTTAGTCTGGACACTTTGGTTTGTGTGTACAGTAGAACCTTGTTAGTCTGGACACTTTGGTTTGTGTGTACAGTAAAACCTTGTTAGTGTGGACACTTTGGTTTGTGTGTACAGTCGAACCTTGTTAGTCTACACACCATGATTTGTGTTGACAGTAAAACCATGTTAGTCTGGACACTTTGGTTTGTGTTTACAGTAGAACCTTGTTAGTCTGGACACTTTGGTTTGTGTGTACAGTAGGACCTTGTTAGTCTGGACACTTTGGTTTGTGTGTACAGTAAAACCTTGTTAGTCTAGACACTTTGGTTTGTGTGTACAGTAAAACCTTGTTAGTGTGGACACTTTGGTTTGTGTGTACAGTAGAACTTTGATAGTCTGGACACTTTGGATTGTGTACAGTAAAACCATGTTAGTGTGGACACTTTGGTTTGTGTGTACAGTCAAATCTTGTTAGTCAGGACACTTTGGTTTGTGTGTACATTGGAACTTTGTTAGTCTACACACCATGATTTGTGTTGACAATAAAACCATGTTAGTGTGGACACTTTGATTTGTGTGTACATTAGAACCTTGTTAGTCTGGACACTTTGGTTTGTGTGTACAGTGGAACCTTGTTAGTCTGGACACTTTGGGTTGTGTACGGTAGAACCTTGTTTGTCTGGACACTTTGGTTTGTGTGTACAGTAGAACCTTGTTAGTCTGGACACGTTGGTTTGTGTAAAGTAGAACCTTGTTAGTCTGGACACGTTGGTTTGTGTGTACAGTAGGACCTTGTAAGTCTGGACACTTTGGTTTGTGTGTACAATAGAACCTTGTAAGTCTGGACACTTTGGTTTGTGTGTACAGTAGAACCTTGTTAGTCTGGACACTTTGGTTTGTGTACAGTAGAACCTTGTTAGTCTGGACACTTTGGTTTGTGTGTACAGTAAAACCTTGTTAGTCTGGACACTTTGGTTTGTGTACAGTAGAACCTTGTAAGTCTGGACACTTTGGTTTGTGTGTACAGTAGAACCTTGTTAGTCTGGACACTTTGGTTTGTGTGTACAGTAGAACCTTGTTAGTCTGGACACGTTGGTTTGTGTGTACGGTAGAACCTTGTAAGTCTGGATACTTTGGTTTGTGTGTACTGTAGAACCTTGTAAGTCTGGACACTTTGGTTTGTGTGTACAGTAGAACCTTGTTAGTCTGGACACCAAAGTTTGTGTGTACAGTGGAACCTTGTTAGTCTGGACACTTTGGTTTGTGTTTACAGTAGAACCTTGTTAGGGTGGACACTTTGGTTTGTGTGTACAGTGGAACCCTGTTAGTCTGGACACTTTGGTTTGTGTTTACAGTAGAACCTTGTTAGTCTAGACACTTTGGTTTGTGTGCACAGTGGAACTTTGTTAGTCTGGACACTTTGGTTTGTGTGTATAGTGGAACTTTGTTAGTCTGGACACTTTGGTTTGTGTACAGTAGAACCTTGTTAGTCTGGACACTTTGGTTTGTGTGTACAGTAGAACCTTGTAAGTCTGGACACTTTGGTTTGTGTGTACGGTAGAACCTTGTTAGTCTGGATACTTTGTTTGTGTGTACAGTATAACCTTGTAAGTCTGGACACTTTGGTTTGTGTGTACAGTAGAACCTTGTAAGTCTGGACACTTTGGTTTGTGTGCACAGTGAAACTTTTTTACTCATGAAGTGTAAAATGTTAATGTTACAATTTTTGATGTTCACTAAGAAAAAAAAATATATATACCTCAATTACTTTGCATACATATATATTTTTCTTGGTTGTAATCACAGGAGAGTAAACCGAGATGTGCAGTATCCGAGATAAACAAATGATCTCCCTTTGTTGTAATGTGTGGGTTAAAGCATCTACACAATGTATCCTGTACTCAGACGCTAATATCATACATGTGATTGTTTCACACCGGACACAACACTGGCAGGTATTACGTTCATGTTCACAATATACACCTCCCGTAAGCTATACAGATCCTGATGTTGGAGACAAGATAATCTCTTATTATCAACGTCCCCTACTACTGGCATCATCTACATATGTAATTCCACGTCTGTCGTGATTCCTGTCTGAAGGCTAGAGGATAACTTGTACTAGCTGTAGTTTTCTATCAATATTAAATATTCTGACATCCCATCACCCAAACACCACACTTATTTTCTACAGATTTCATATAATCCTCTCCCAATTGACGTCAGCTATGGTAATAGATAATCTGGAATTTGTTTTAGTTTTCAAATATCATCTGAAATCCTCAATAATTTACAATCCAAACACATTCTGTACTTTCAGAAATTCCTACCTTCCAGCTATCAGACATCTTTAAAAGCAAAATCAGGGGCATGCTTAAATAATTACCCCCTAGATACCTTCCCCTGGTCACCTTCCCCTAGACATCTTCCCCTGGTCACTTTTCCCTAAATACCTTCCCCTGGTCACCTTTCCCTAGACACCTTCCCCTGGTCACCTTCCCCTAGACACCTTCCCCTGGTCACCTTCCCCTAGACACCTTCCCCTAAACATCTTCCCCTGGTCACCTTCCCCTAGACATCTTCCCCTGGTCACCTTTCCTTAAACCCTGCCCCTCGACACCTTCCCCTAGACAACTGCCCCTAGACACCTTCCCCCAAACACCTTCCCCTGGTCACCTTCCCCTAGACACCTTCCCCTAGACATCTTCCCCTGGTCACCTTTCCTTAAACCCTGCCCCTTGACACCTTCCCCTAGACAACTGCCCCTAGACACCTTCCTCCAAACACCTTCCCCTGGTCACCTTCCCCTAGACACCTTCCTTTAGACATCTTCCCCTGGTCACCTTCCCCTAGACACCTTCCCCCAAACACCTTCCCCTAGACACCTTCCTTTAGACATCTTCCCCTGGTCACCTTCCCCTAGACACCTTCCCCTAGACAACTGCCCCTAGACACCTTCCCCCAAACACCTTCCCCTGGTCACCTTCCCCTAGACACCTTCCCCTAGACATCTTCCCCATGGTCACCTTCCCCTAGACACCTTCCTCTAGACATCTTCCCCTGGTCACCTTCCCCTAGACATCTTCCCCTGGTCACCTTCCCCTAGACATCTTCCCCTGGTCACCTTTCCTTAAACCCTGCCCCTCGACACCTTCCCCTAGACAACTGCCCCTAGACACCTTCCCCCAAACACCTTCCCCTGGTCACCTTCCCCTAGACACCTTCCCCTAGACATCTTCCCCTGGTCACCTTTCCTTAAACCCTGCCCCTCGACACCTTCCCCTAGACAACTGCCCCTAGACACCTTCCTCCAAACACCTTCCCCTGGTCACCTTCCCCTAGACACCTTCCTTTAGACATCTTCCCCTGGTCACCTTCCCCTAGACACCTTCCCCCAAACACCTTCCCCTGGTCACCTTCCCCTAGACACCTTCCTTTAGACATCTTCCCCTGGTCACCTTCCCCTAGACACCTTCCCCTAGACAACTGCCCCTAGACACCTTCCCCCAAACACCTTCCCCTGGTCACCTTCCCCTTGACACCTTCCCCTAGACATCTTCCCCCTGGTCACCTTCCCCTAGACACCTTCCTCTAGACATCTTCCCCTGGTCACCTTTCCCTAGACCCTGCCCCTCAACTTCTTCCCCTAGACAACTGCCCCTAGACACCTTTCCCTAGACACCTTCCCCTAGAAACCTGCCTCTACTTAAGTTAAGTTATAGTCCCATTCCAACCACCATTCGGCAACTCGCCGACAGGGGCCTCAGGGAGATGAAGGTGCCAAGAAAATGAAAATGGATGAATTATTCAAGGCAGATTATCTAAAAACAAACATTGTTTTTACACCGTGTGTAAGATATATTTTTTTTTTTTATCATTCATTTTTATTTTTTGTTTAAATTTTGATATCAGTATGGTTTACAGTAAAGTTGAAAATTTGCTTGTATATCCACAATTTAAAATTGTTTACAAGTACCTTGTGATTATTTAAAGGTTTGTAATTGGATGAAAATATTGGTTGTTTTCTCGCAGTAATTTGTGTAAATGTCTTATCCATCAAGGACTGATACAAGGTGACAGAGCGACACACCACAGCCACAGGAGAGCCATGGATACTTCTAATGGTTATATACATCAACCTGTTAGTACCAGGCCACGCTATTGACAGCCAAATTCCTT